ACTGCAACACAAATATCATAACAAACAAAGAAGACCATTGTAATATTGATTTTATTACATATTAATTAGTTATCCTCTATAAACTTTTATCTAATAAATTTACACAATTAGCTAACCAAACCGAAAATCATTCCTTAAGCTAACTATTTTCTATTAACTCTTTTTGTTTGTTTCCATTTAACATGTCCCAGGAAAAAAAACATTTTATACTTTAGAAAAATGCTTGTGCGTATGTGGTCCACTTTCTAGTGTTTACTATATACTCCATGATTAACATTAAAGAATAGACTATAAAGCATAATAATTAAAAGAAAATAACGAGTACGACAAAAAAAAAAGGATTTTTTTAAATGTCATTCTAGCTTTATCAACTATTTGTTACATAAATGTCGTTTTGGATTTTTTGTACATATTTTTTTCATTATTACCCTCATTTAGCTAATAAATGCATTACGTCTTTTCATATTCACTCTTCACTTTTTCTCAAAACATTTATCTCTATCTTTATTAAATGACAAAAAATATTCTTAATTAGTGTACAACTTTTCAAAACGACATATATTAAAAATAAGAGGTAGTACTATATTTTATTGGGAGATGCTAAGGTCTCGTTTCGTTAGGGTTTGTAACCGTTAGACTAATTATTTTGACGGTTACACGTAACGTTTACAAATCCTGAGCGAATGGTTTGTGAACTGAGTTTTATAGTTTTCAGGCTACTTTTGCTGTTTTTTCCTTCTTATTTTTCTATTTTCTCCCTGTGCCATTTTGAACCCATTACAGAAAAAAGAGAAGAAAGAAAATACTGTGCCGGGTTTATTATTATTATTGTAGGCATACAATTGTTTGTTTCCATTTCCTTTTTCCTTGGGTTCACTTGGGCTGTTGCTGTAATTCATCTATCTATCGAAAATCTGTTTCTTTTGCCGATCTGATCCCAGAAAGAAAAAAAAAAAGAAAATAAAATTGAATTGAATTGTAAAGCTGTTGTGTATTACAAAGTTCGTTTACGTTCTCAAGAGTGATGAAAGATTGTTCAATCACTTGCATTCTCTGACCAGGTGAAATCAAGAACTGATTTTCCTTACTTTATCCTAATTTTTTGCTGTTGGAGGTTTTAGTTTTCGTTTGTTTTAGTTTATGAGGTAACGTGATACACCAACTTAATCAATTTATGATCAAGAAGAACTTATTTGTCTTTGTTCCGGTATTTCTTGGGTAATTTTGCATTTCTGGATTAATGGGGTTTTGATGTTTAATTAGGCAAATTGGGTTTTGCTCACCATTTTTAGATTTCGGAGGGGTTCTCTAGGTAAAGGTGTATTCTTGAATTTGGTCTATGATTTTCTTTCTCCACAATGCACAAACCTTTGCTGTTAGTATAAGAGAACTGT